GTTGGGCAGTCCTTGGTCCCCATCGGCCTCTAGGCTTCCGACTCAGGTTGAGAGGAATAGCCCGGCCCATTCGGAGCAGGCTTCCCCAGATGTCCGGATGCCCTCCACACCAGAGGCCCTGCAAGCAGCCCGGGACATTATGTCCATGCCGGTACCAGGAGCATCGCCAATGTTGACTCCGTGGTCCAGAGGCAAGCCGCCGCTGGGATCTCCGCAGTTGCCCCCGACTCGGTACTGGTCATGGTCGAGGGAATGTTCCCAATTCCGTTCGCTGCTCAGCGACCGTCCCATGCATAGTCCTCGTGCGTCACCGTCGACCCCCACCAGGATTGTCTGACTGGGTTCCGATTGACAGAGACTCCAGGCACCGCTCTGCCTTGAGGAGCGGACACAGAGGGGACTGAGGCAGATGACACCGAAGGTCCTCGTCTCCGAGGGGCTATCGTAGCCAGTCGTGACATGAATGTCGACGCCGTTCCCGTTCGTCGTCTCGCTCCAAGACCCTGCCACTGCACCGCTCCCGCAGCCCTGGGCATCGATCACCGCCGTTGTGGATCCACCCGCCAGAGCCGATCGCGGAGCAGCTGCTACTGGCGGTACCGTTCCTCTACGTCGGGATCACGGTCTCGTGGTCAGCACCGCTGCTCCTCCCAGTCCAGGGACAGTGGCAGGTCATATGTCAGCCTGGCCTCCCTTCATAGTCGTCGATCGATGGGACAGGCCAGCCAGGGCGAACAGCCTGCGCTGCCGGTGCCACAGCAGGTGCCACAGCAGGTGCAGTGGCACCAGGCCCCGTGGCTGGCACAGTGGTACCAGTGGGCACCGTGGCCCCTGACGCAGCCCCTTGTGGGGTTTCGCTCGGTGGCTGGAGCCTTGGAACGGCCATTGGCCTCCCTCTCCCGGCCTCCGAGGAAGGAGTCAGTGGGACGTGCATCTTCGGCGCTGTGCCCGGAGAGTGACCAAGTGATGGATCCTCCGGTGCCGGTGGACTCGCAAAGTATAGCACCTGCCTCCTCACCCTCCCCTGATGTGGCGATTACGGCCCCTCTGTCCTGCAGGAGGACTCTAAGGCCCACCAGGAACTATTGAAAAGGGTGGCATCAAACCTCAACCTTCAGGCAGAGGAGGTGGAAGAACCCTCAGACTCCCTCTTTAATGTCCTGTCCGCCCCGGTACCGGGCAGGGTGGCCTTGCCACTCCACGAAGGGGTGGCAAAAATTTCAAATGCCTTGTGGCAAACCCCGGTCTCCTTGCCCCCCATCTCAAAGAGAGTGGAACACAAATATTTTGTGCCTGCCAAAGGACACAAATACCTATACACCCACCCTGCCCCTAACTCCCTGGTGGTCAAGTCGGTCAACCACAGGAGCGGCAGGGCCAACCAGCCCCTACTCCGAAAAATAAAGACTCAAGGAGGCTGGATTCATTTGGGAGAAAAATTTATTCATCCTCGAGCTTCCAGTTATGGGTGGCAAACCATCAGGCTCTCCTGGGCCGGTATGAGTTCAATCTGTGGGACTCTCTGCCCAAATTCGAGGACTCCCTCCAGGAGCGTGACAGGAAGGAGTTCAAAGCTCTGGTGGAGGAGGGTACAGCGGCTGCCAAGGCAACCCTGCAGGCAGCGTTGGATGCGGTGGACACGGCTGTGCGGTTCATGGCCTCCGCGGTATCCGTGAGAAGGGTGTTGTGGCTCCTGCTGTTGGGGCTGTCCAGTGAGGCGCAGAACTCCTTGCAGGACCTCCCGTTTGATGGCAAAGCTCTGTTTGCAGAACAGACGGACATAAAACTGCATGGCCTGAAAGACTCCCTCACTACGCTTAAGACTCTTGGCCTTTATGTTCCGGTTCCGGCTAGACCTAAGTTTAAGCCGCAGCAGGCTCCCACCCAGGCCACCCACTCTAAATACGAGCCCCCTTATAAAAAGTCGTGGGACTATAAGAAACGCCTGTAGAGGCAGTCCCGGTCTGCCCCCCAGCCTGGGTCCTCCAAGGGCAAACAGTTAGGGAAATGACAGTTTTGACAGGATGCCTGGGGGTGACCTACCAGTTCAAATCAGGGAACCACCCACAATAAATCTTCCCTTCTCCAACCAGTTGTGTGCTTTTCTCCCAGAGTGGTTGTGGCTGACCTCGGAACAATGGGTCCTCAGCAACATCTCCCGGGGCTACACCCTCCAGTTTACCTCTACCCTGCCAACCACCCTCCGCCCCCATCCTTCCTGGGGGACCCCCTCACGAGGCTCTGCTTGAGCAGGAGATGGTGCAGCTCCTTGGCCTAGGAGCAGTGGAAGTGGTGCCAGTGGAGTTCAAAAGCAAGGGGTACCACTCCCGCTATTTCCTTATCCCGAAGGCCAAAGGGGGGGGCTCAGGCCCATCCTGGACCTGCGAGGCCTGAACCAGTACATGGTGAAGCTCAAGTTCTGCATGGTCTCCCTGGCCTCCATCATTCCCTCTCTGGATCCCCGGGACTGGTACGCCGCCCTCGATCTGCAGGACGCGTACTTCCACATCCCCATATTCGAGGGGCACAGGCGTTTCCTCCATTTCACGATTGGACAGGAACACTCCAATTTGCGGTCCTCCCATTTGGCCTGTCCACTGCCCCCAGGATATTTACAAAGTGTATGTCTGTGGTGGCGCCTATCTCAGGTGCCGTGGGGTCCAGATCTTCCTCTATCTGGACGACTGGCTGGTCAAGGACAGCTCCCAGTTGCAGGTGCGGGATCACGTGGTGCTCCTTCTGTCCACATGCACCACTCTGGGCCTGTTGGTGAATGGCACCATGTCCACATTAGTCCTGGTACAGCGCATAGAGTTTATCGGGGCAGTCCTGGACGCCACATCGGCCAGGGCATCCCTCCCACTGGACAGGTTCAAGACCCTGAAAGGGCTCATCGACACAGTCACAAGATTTCCAGTGACAACAGCCAGAGCCAACAGCTCTTGGGTGACATGTCGGCGTGCACGTATGTGATTCGCCATGCCAGACTCGAGATAATTTCAGATGCACCACACAATGGATGAGGAGTGCATTTGGGTCATTTTACAATTCAGGGCCACTGGGTTTCTCAGGAAAAGAGCTTGCTTTTAAATGTGTTGAAGTTAAGAGTCATTCGTTTGATCTTTCCTTCCTCAAGCCACTATGTGTTACATCAACAAGCAAAGGAGTGCTGACTGTTCGCAGTTATGTGCTGAAGCAGTCATTATGGGACTCGTGCATTCTTCGCAATGTCTGTCCAGTGGCCCTGCCTTTAGCAGGGGAGAGCAATGTGCTGGCAGAATGTCTCAGCAGGGACAGTTCTTAGATGCATAAAAAGAGTTCTAACCTATTATTTAAATAAATGATTTCCTAAAACGTAGTTTTATGTTGATTGTTTCTTTATGCTAAGAATCATATGGTCATAGTATGTTTGCTCACATATTTCCAGATAGGTTAAACAGTGTATCATTGAAAGTTACAAGTTAATGACAGTTTGTGTGCATTCTGTTGTAAGTTCTCATTCTGCTAGACCATCTTTTGCTTGCTTTACACTAGGTCTGTCAAGCGATTAAAAAAATTAATTGCGATTAATTGCGTGATTAATCACACTGTTAAACAATAATAGAATACCATTAATTTAAATATTTTTGATGTTTTCTACATTTTCAAATATATTGAATAATTATAACAGAATACAAAGTGTACAGTGCTCACTTTATATTTATTTTTTATTACAAATATTTGCACTGTAAAAAAACAAAAGAAATAGTATTTTCAATTCACCTAATACAAGAAGTGTAGTGTAATCTCTTTATCATGAAAGTTGAACTTACAAATGTAGAATTATGTACAAAAAATAACTGCATTCAAAAATAAAACAATGTAAAACTTTAGAGTCTACAAGTCCACTCAGTCCTATTTCTTGATCAGACAATCGCTCAGACAAACAAGTTTGTTTACATTTGCAGGAGATAATGCTGCCCGCTTCTTGTTCGCAATGTCACCTGAAAGTGAGAATAGTTGTTCTCATGGCACTGTAGTAGCTGGCGTGGCAAGATATTTACATGCCAGATGCGCTAAAGATTCATATATCCCTTCATGCTTCAACCACCATTCCAGAGGACATGCGTCCATGCTGATGATGAGTTCTGCTTGATAACAATCCAAAGCAGTGCAGACCAACTCATGTTCATTTTCATCATCTGAGTCAGATGCCACCAGCAGATTTTCTTTTTTGGTGGTTCGGGTTCTGTAGTGTCTGATCCAGTAGCATTCTCAGAGCACACCTAAACCCATGAGGAGGATGAGGAGGTGATGGTTTCTCAGGGAGCTGTACGCCTGTGGAGAACTCTGCTACTACACCTGTCCCTTCCCTTCCCAGTTTTGGAACACCTCCTGCCCAAAATACCATCTTCTACGCCTTGGCAGTGCAAAGGGTGTGTGTGTGTGTGTGTGTGTGTGTGTGTGTGTGTGTGTGTGTGTGCTGGCTGTTTCTAGACTCTTTAAGCCCGCTTTGTGCTACATAATTTTGCACTGCTTATGTTGTACAAAGTTAATTGAAGATTCTGCTCCCTTGTTGTTCTTCCCTCTTTTATAAGTGTGCACAGATGTGATGTTTGTAGGTCTTATATTCCTTTTCTAAGCCTCTTGGTAAATAAATGAAAGACTGACTCTTTTTAAAAAGAAAATTCTTTGCAATTTGCCTTTCATACTTTTGAGATAAATTGGTTTTTGCTATTACTGAGCTGCTGTGTGAAAAGTCTACCTAAGGGAAACTTTAATTTTGAGCCTTCGATTTGAAACTTTATAAACATTCTCATATTCCTTCCTCAAGGGATTTCAAGTGCTGTATATGTATGTATAAAAAGCTGTATACGTATATGTAAAATATTATTAAAATACAATAAAAGCATCTAGTTCAGAACATTTATTTTTTCAAGAAATGGTAATATGTCAAAATAATTTTTAAAAAAGCTTTTAAAAGAAAGTGAAATTACTAGATTTTCTGTTTTAATTTATAGACTATATAAATGGAGGAGAACTTTTTACTCACCTTTCCCAAAGAGAGAGATTTACAGAAAATGACGTGCAGATATACATTGGAGAAATTGTACTGGCTCTTGAACACCTGCACAAGGTAAGACAGTTTTTTCCATCAATGCTTTCTTGTGAGTTACATCTTCATGATTATATAAAAAATAAAAAGGACTTAATTGTTTTTGTTTAAAAATATAGCGCATGATTATATACACCAATTTTAAATATTAATTATTTAATGAATTATAAATACATGTCCCTTTATTAGGTATTCATCTGTTGTATCTGTGCACAGATTAAGACTAGAGTCTACACTGTCTCTGGAGTCAGTATTTGTTATTTTGCCAATAGGTTGTTGCTTTCTGAATATCTCCATTTCCAATAGTATCTTCTTTTCACACATGAAATGTCATTGTGACTCTCATTTTCTTTCAGCATAAAGAACAGAGATGTCTGCAGTCAGTTTTTATAACTTTGTCCTTTCATTAAAATTATAGGTTAAAATTTTCAAATCTGAGGCCTAAAATTAGACACCTAGTTTCCTATTTAGGCACTTAAGAGAGGCATAATTTACAAAGATGTCCCATTGAATTTACTGGGATTTGCGAGTCATAGACTTTACGGCCAGAAGAGACCGCCAGATTGTTTAGTCTGACCTTGTGTATATCACAGGACACCAACACTACCCAGCACCTGCACACTAAACCCAACAACCAAAATTAGACCAAAGTATTACAGCCCACAGAAGACTAGACTGTTATGTGCCACAGGCAGAGAATGGAATGGAGAAAGGTGCACCAGTGCTTGAGGGCTCCAGAAAGTCAGGGAAATGATTAAGCAAGATATACCCAGATCATCCTGGCAAATAACCTGCACCCACATCTTGAAGAGGAAAGTGGGGGAAAAAAACCAAGATCACTGCCCATATGATCTGGGGGAAAAGTCCTTCCCCAACCCATATGTGGCAATCAGTGAGACCCTGAACATATGAGCAAGAATCAGCCAGCCATGCACCTGAGAGAGAGAATGTTTGGTGCCACCGCAGAGCCTTGTACCTTCCTATCTAATGTCCCATCTTCAGCTGTGTCCATACTGATATTTCAGAGGAAAGAGGTAAACAACCACCACCACCAAAAACCAGAATTCATTGTGGGGGAGGGAAATCCCTTCCTGATCCCTCCAGGTGTCTGGCTGAAACCCTGAAGCATAAGCTTTTAAGAACATATGGCATAAACCAGAAGTGAGACCCAGGGCTGATGAGCCCTGCCTCCTACCCATCGTAAGCTACCCCCTCATACAATCACACTCATAAATTTGTTTAGTTGTCTTAAAGTTAATTAAGTTGTTTACCCCTACGACTCCTATTGGGAGGCTATTCCAGAAACTCACCCCTCTGATGGTTGGAAACCACCTAATTTCCCATCCTGAATTTGTTCATGATCAGTTTATATCCATTTGCTCTTGTGCCAACATTGTCCTTGAGCTTAAATAGTTTTTCACCCTCCCTTGTATTTACCATCTAATGTATTTATAAAGAGCTGTCATATCCCCTCTCAGCCTTCTTTTTGATAGACTAAACAAGCCAAACTCTTCAATCTCCTATCAAAAGATAGGCCCTCCATTCCTCTGGTCATCCTAGCAGCTCTTCTCTGCACCTGTTTCGGTTTAAATTAATCTTTCTTGAACACAGGTGACCAGAACTGTACACAGTATTCCAAATGAGGTCTTACCAGTACTTTGTATGATGGCATTAATTCTTCTCTGTCTCTACTAGAAATGCCTTGCGTGAAACATACTAAGATCGGCTTTTCCTTTTTCACAACTGCATTTCACAGCTGAATTATGAAGTGGCTCATAGTTATATTGTGACTGACACTTGTAGTTAGGTCTCTCTTCTTTGTCACTTCAAGCTGATGAGGTGCCAGCAAAAATTCTTTAGATCCTAACTACAACAATCTTGCACTTTCTGCTATTGAGTTTCATCCCATTTCTGCCACTCCAGTCTTCAAGAACATCCAGATCCCCGTGTATAATATTCCTGTTCTCCTCTGTATTAATAATGCCTCCCAACTTTGTATCATCAGCAAATTTCATTAGCACACTTCTACTTTTTGTGCCAAAGTCATGAATAAGATTGGTCTCAAGACTGATATTTGAGGAATTCCACAAATAACCTCCTTTCAGTCTGATCATTCATCTTTCAGGATAACCTGTTGCTTTCTCCCATTTAGCCAGTTCCTTATCCACCTGACAATTCTTGTGCTGATCCCCATTTTCCCTAATTAAACTAATAATTTCCCATGTGATACCACATTAAATGATGTGTTGAAGTTCAAGTACTGTATATTAGATCTACTGCGTTTCCATTATCTAAAAAAATCAGTTATTTTTCTCAAAGTAGTAAATCAGGTTAGTTTGGCATGATCTATGTTTGGTAAACCTGTGAGGCATTATATTCTCTTTACCATTTATTTCCGTTAATTTAATTATTCTTTTCTCCACAATTTGTTTTAAAGCCTGACATACTCCTAAGGTTAATTTAACAGGTCTGTAATTGTCCAAATCACTTTTTAAAAAAAATATAAGTATGACATTAACTATTCTCCAGTCATATGGTACTCCCCCCGAATAGATAGATTTATGAAAAATCTTTGCTACTAGATTAGCAATCTCATGTGCCAGTTCTTTGTGTTCTGCGATGGAAATTATCCAGTCCCTTCTATTTGAGCGCATTAAGCTCTTCAAAGTTTTTTTTCCATCTCGGATGTGGTAATTTCCAGTTCTAGACCCTAATTTCCATTAGCCATGCTGCCTTCATGCACATGTTTCATATGATCATCCTTATTGAAAACCAAGGCAAAATATTTATTGTGGGGACTCAGAACTTCTAAAAATCAGGCCACTTTCATTTAGATTCTAAATATAAATTTAGGAGCCTCTGAATGAGCTCCCCCTTCAGCTCCTGGAAACCATGGCTGGTAAGCCCTCTTTGTGAACTAAGCAGCATGCTTAATTCCAGCAGGTACCTCAACCAGGTGTCTTTATTGCTGTTTATGCTGCAGATACATCACAACATAGCCACAGTTACGTAGAACCCCTTTCCTGCTCTCTGGCTTAGCCTTTTATATGGCTGGCTTTCTTCTGAGAGCTATCAAGCTGGTGAGCTAATTACCTTCATAAGGCTCCCTACAGGTGCAAGTTGAATTTTCTACTCTTCCAACCCCAAACTACCTAAGTCCCTCCTACTCTTAACTACACCTGGTGACCCGGGTGTTCTAAGTGACCAGTTAGCTTACAGCTACTAACAGTGCCCTGTCACAGAGCCTGGCTAGACAGCCAAGTTTGAAAATGTTGATATTAGTGAACAATATATATGTTCATGGTCTTCAGTAAAACAGCCCACCTGCTCTTCCCAGCAGAGAGGCTATAATGAAAATGTTTGCACTTTCAGCTCCTTATTTTGGCTATGTGATAGAGAAGAGGCTAAGACTAGTTTTTTTTTTTGTACATGTAGAGTTTAGAGTCAGAGAGCTTGAGTCCAGAAGGGACCACCAGATCATCTAGTCTGCCCTCCTGTACATCACAGTCCACCACCACCCAACAACCAAAATTAGATCACAATGTTACAACCCAGAGAAGACTAGACTATTATGTGCCACAGGCAGAGCTAGGAGAGACTGAGCTGCACCAGTGCTTTAGGCCCCTGCAATGGTTTGTAAGTGATTAAGCAAGCAAGTGACACACATACACACACTAGTAGTGATTTTGGGGGGGTTTCGACTTCCTTTGCAATCTGACCTGGTGGAAGATTCCTTCCCAGCCCCACATACGGCAATCAGTTAGACCCTGAGCATTTGAACAAGAATCAGCCAGCCCAAGTACCTGAGAGACAGTGTGCTCAGTGCCTCCTTGGGGCCCTGGCCTATCCTGCTTAATGTCCCATCTCCAGTCATGGTCATCTCTGATACTTCAGAAGAAGATTTAAAAAAAAAAACACCCCAAACCTCCAAGAATACACTGGGGGAGAGGGGGAATCCCTTCCTGATCCCTACAGGTGTCCTGCTGAAACTCTGAAGCATGAGCTTTAGGAACGTAAGGCATAGTAATACTAATAGTGCGGTCTCTGATGAATTGTTATTTTAATGATGCAAAGAGAGTGGAAATTTATGTGAGCAAAATTGCCGTGCAGCCTGCTGTAGCATAACTGGCTCCTGCATTGTGTTTATAGAATCTTACATAATCTGCAGAGACCAGCCAGGAACCTATAGGTGCTGGTGGTTCCATTATTAAGGTTGAATTCAGTTTTGCACTTAAAAGTAGGGATTCAGCCACTTTCTTATATATTAAGAATACAGTTTATACTCCCCTAAATTACAACACTTATTTAGTACAGAATATTGTTTCTGATAATCTACAAGTAAGTAAATTAATTAGTTTACAAGTTAAATTTATAATGGGTCCTTTAAGAATCTTAGCTTTGGGGTTTTTTGGGGTCCTGAATAGTCTTAATCATGGAGTAACATACTCTTGAAACCTCCCATATAGTTAAAATGTTGAAATCTCATGCATTGCCTACATTTGAAGAAATTTATGTAGGAGTAAGTCATTTCTTGTTGTTTTTTTTATAACTGAAAGATTTTTCTTCAGGAGAGGCTGAAAAACAATATTCTTCTACAGAGAATTCCATGAAGATCTGTGTCACAGTTACCTTCTTAACTGCACTTGGAACCCCTTTCTAGTCTCTCCAAGTGCACAGCTCTCTCAGATGAGAGGCATCCTGCCTACACCTCTATCTGGGTGGAATCTCACACTTCTCTGACTTGTAGACCAGGGACCTGGTCTACTTCCCTTGTTCACTCAGCAGGCCCAATTTACTGAGCCCTGCAGGTCTTTCCTTCAGGGCTTTGACGAGCAGTTACTATACAGTGACCTTCTCAAAAACAATGTATTGCTTATCTTTAACAGTAGGAACACTGCTCTGCATAAGAGAGAGAGAGAATTTGAGCACACTAAACAGTCCAAATGCCTGTCTAGACTACCATTCCCCTGATAGTAGCCAGATAGCACAACTTAGACCCTCCCACAGAATCTGTCTCTGTTTTGGACTGCTCCGTGTAAGCATCCCCGACAACTCACACCTCTTTCTCAGTAGAGTTACTTTAACTGTTCAGTGTCCTTTTGATCTTTAGGTTCCAGCCTTGGCAGAACAGCAATGTAACTCTTGGCTGGAGCCTGTAAGTGGAATATTTACAGTTAATTGCTCAGCCTTCTTGTGCTGTTTTTGTAACTTATTTGCACACATTGTCTAGTGTTCCTGACTGTTTTTTGAACAGCCTAGTATTAAAACGAACTAACCTATGTGTTCAGTTCCCATTAATCCAATATAGCTACTAAGTACTTATTTCATTCAACAATCATATAAAACATACAGTATTCATGGATTAATACAAATTAGCCCTATGTCCTTCACAATCCATCCTCTTTCAAAATGGGGGTTGCCATCTCTTACTGTTCTCAGTGGGTGTGAAGGTGCGGGTTGCTATCAGAGAGATCCTCTCTTTCAAATGTTTACTGCCTGCCATTGTTTCCATTGAGGGTGAAGCCAAGATGGCCCTCAGGGAGGATGGTGGCTACTAACTCTCAGAGCCACCATTCTTCCTGATGGCAGCTTGACATCATGCTGGTTGGGGACAGTGGGAAGCAATGGCCATTTTGAAACAAGGGATCTTTGCTAATAGTAACTTGTAGCTTCACACCCATTGAGAACAGTAAGAGATGGCAGAATTCATGGAATTCTCTGTAAAAGAACATTAATTTTCAGCCTCTGCTGAAGAAAAAATAAATAGCACTATTAATCCTAAACACTTATTTTCAAAATCTCTTCTTTGGACTGGATCACTCAACTTCTGTGAACTTGTCACAAGGGGGAAATGCTGGGGTGCTGTGCAAGGGAATTTGTGGCACAGGATAGACAAAGGAAACTGGTGTGTGTAAATAAAAGCAGGGGAATGTGGAGGTTAGGAGATGGTGGGGCATGGGAGCTGGCCAATACACTCTGGATGCTTTGTGTTTCTCCTCAGTGGATGAAGCACCCAGAGCATATTGGTCAATCTAAAAGCCAAAATCATTAGATTGCATGGTAATGCTTTCTCTACCTTTCTTGTTTAGTGACCATGTACAAAAATTTTAATTGAAAAAATAAAAAAGGAAATTCCCAGGCTAAAAACTTGAACTGAAGCGAAGAGTGCATGGCAGTAATTTAAGTAATTTTGTTTTAAAACAAAAAGAATGCTGTAATGATCCCCAAAAGAACTATTACAAACCAAGGAAATTCAGAGTTAAGCTTTAAATTGAAAAGAAATCCTAGAGGTGTTAAGCTGTGGTAATGCACAGTTAAGCATCCAAATAATCATTACTCTGCCCTGTAATGATACCATGAACAAAAATAAAAATCAAATCTCTCTTAAAAATCAGTTTATTATGATCTGGGACTGCAACCCCTATTATGGATTTATCATATTTGTATGTTATAATGTCACTACAGGGTGGAGTTTAGGTTTGGGTTCCATAACTGTATTTCTATACCTTAACATATTTGGATTCCTTTTAAATTTGACCATAACTCTGAATTTTACTGGGTTTGTGGTGATTATTTTTGGGATAATTAAAACATTTTTGTAACATATTTTACCCTTAAATTACTGATAAATTTAGTGAAGGTTGAGAGAATTTAACATAGTTTTGTGTCTGGGATTTTTAATCACTTTTTTGCTAGATCCAAATTTAGAAACATTCTTCAACATATCTGTTAGTATTTCCAAATCAATGTTATATTACTGTTTTTATGTTTATTTGCAGTTGGGGATTATATATCGAGATATAAAACTTGAAAATATTCTACTTGATTCTAATGGCCACGTTGTGCTGACAGACTTTGGTCTGAGTAAGGAGTTTCTTACAGATGAAGTGAGTATTTGAATATTCAGTGATTGTGGACACAATCCAGAAAGAATTTGGTTAGAAGAAAATAATTGTTTTCTATTCTATTGCTTTATTAAGGGGAACAGCTGAAACAATCTTAAACAAATAACATTCCCAAAAATTAGGCTTATATTTAACTATATTAAAACAGAAATTTATCAGATGCGAGCCAGAGTATAAATTTTCTAATAAAATATAGTTTAATAATTTGGCATTATACTGGTTAATTTACATCTCATGGAAGCATTGAACAAGACTTTTTTTAAAATTTATTTCAGAAGTTTCCTTTTTCTAGTGTAGTATGTTCTTGATTTCCTTGTATAGCACCTGTCTTGAACTACAAATCTGAATCTACAAATGTAAACCTGACTTGTGAAATATCTCCTTTTTGAACACACTTCTTTGAAGGACCTATCGTGATTTTTCCAAAAAATGCTAGAACCTTGAAGGATAAGGGGTGAACAGTGTTGCTTGGCCTAATCACATGTGCTTTCATAATTATCAAGGCACAGTATTACCTTATGTTGCCCACAAAAGTAAATGGCTATCAACAAAGAATGGTACAATGACCTGTGAAAACAGCTCAGATTGAACACAACCAAAACAAATACGTTGTGTGTAGAATAAAATGAAAACAATTTGCTCCCAAGAAGAAAGAGGGGTTGTTTTTTACACACTGTATATTATGAAAAGAGATTTTTTTTAATAGAGGTCAGTATAGCTTCATGAATATGGGAGCCAGAGGGTGTGATATAACATCAAGTTTAGCCAAATTAGTCTAGATGACATTTTTGTTTTAAATACCAAAGATTGTTTCATGTGCTGATGTTAAATCTGCCCCGCAAATTCATAATATTGTAGTTCTTGCCTAGGAGGTAGTGAATAGTCTCAAGGGTTCTGTGTTAATTCTCTGTATGATGGAAGGTGATTTGTCTATGCAGTTCTGAATTGTTTGAATGATAGCTGTGGGTCACCAGCTGTTAGTTATATATAGCCCTTATTCATTGTAATCATTTGATATCAATATGTGTGTCTTTTTTAGAATGAGAGAGCATATTCCTTTTGCGGAACTATAGAATACATGGCTCCAGATATTGTCAGAGGAGGAGACACAGGACATGACAAGGTGTGTTTCATCCCAGCTTTCTTTTGTCACTGCCTGTTTACATTTCTGATTAAAATGAATCCTACTCTGTAGTTTTTTATGTGATTATTTGCCTGCCCTCCAAAACTTCCTAACCCCATTTCACAACTCAAGCTTTCCCAACTAAGGTCCAGAAAAAAGTGAGAATCAGACGTGTTGAAAGTCTCTGGGTGAAGATAAAAAGAGGAAAAGGTGGGGAGGCGGTAGGATATCTACTGTAGACCACCAAATGAGGATGAGACATTTCTAGAACAAATAACAGAAGCAGCCAAAACACGAACCATGGTAGTAATGGGGGACTTTAACTTCCCAGATACTTGTTGGAAAAATAATTCAGGAAAACACAGACTGTCAACAAGTTCTTGGAATGTATTTGGGACAACCTTTTATTTCAGAAGGTGGAGGAGGTAACAAGAGGAGAAGTTATTTTAGATTTGATTCTGATTAACAGAGAGGAAGTGGTTGTGAATCCGAAAGCAAAAGGCAACTTCAGTGAGGATCACAAAATGATAGAATTTATAATTCTAAGGAAAAGGAATGAGAGCAGCAGAATAAGGACAATGGACTTCACAAAAGCAGATTTCAACAAACTTAAAGAACTGTTATGTATGGTACCTTTTGAAAAGATTGTGTAAGGCAAATGGAAGTAGTACAGGAGAGCTGGCAGTTTCTCTGAGACAATATTAAAAATAAAACAGCAATCTAAATCCTGAGGCAGAAGAAAAATGGGAAGACTAATAAGAGGCCAATATGATTGTTTCAG